CTCAGCCTCCTGAGTAGCTGGGGTTACACGTGTGCACCACTAGCCCTGGCTAATTTTTGTATTTTTAGTAAAGAGGGGTTTCACCGTGTTGGCCAGGCTGGTCTCGAATTCTTGACCTCCACCTGCCCTGGCTTCTGAAAGTGCTGGGATTACAGGCATGAGCTACCTCACCCAACCTTATTGTTCCCATTTTTATAACCATGTGTACCCAGTGTTTAGCTCCTACTCACAGGTGAGAACATGTGATATTTGGTTTTCTGTTTCTGCAGTCATTCGCTTAGGATAATGGCTTCCAGCTGCATCCATGTTGCTGCAAAGAACATGATTTTGTCCTTTTTATGGCTTCATAGTATCCCATGGTGTACATGTACCGCATTTTCTTTAGCCAATCCACTGTTGATGGCACTGGGCATCATCATATATTTAAGCCATCATATTCGTACTAATTTGTTATGACAGCCTTAGGAAACTAATACAGAGATTAATCTATCATTAGAAGTAAAGTGGATTCAAGAAAGAGATTATATTTATTTGTTTGATGTTTTTAAGCTTAGAAGAGATGTGGCCATGTTTGAATACTGATATAAAGAAACCAAGAGAAAGGATGGTTTAAAAATATAGGAGAGGGAGGGAGTAACTGACAGGGCAAAGGCCCTGAGGAGGTGGCAGAGGATGAGATCTATAACTCAACCACAGAAAGGTCCCTGCATCTTGGGGGTCCTGACTTCACTTAACGAATCATATTCTCCCTCTTGGAAATTTGAAATTTGGGGTTCATAAATGCTGGTCAACTTCTGCTGGTCCCTTAAACTAAAGTGATGTAGCTACAGGGATGGGACACAGAAAGAAATACAAATGAGAGGCCCGCAACCTCAGAGCATCGTAAGAAATAGCGGGTTTAGTTCCTTCTCCTTCACCATTCATGTTGCAGTTCCTGGTGGTTCTGCTCTAGAATTCCACCAAATACTTCTGCGTGAAGATAAGTCTCCTTTTCCTATATCTGTGACTTGCAACAAGAAGCTGTGACTAAGAAACTGACAGAATTTGGTTTTAACCCCAAGTCAATCACTTTCTAGGTGTGTGACTTCTAGACTGAGGCTTTCTCATTTATGAAGCAGGGATAGCAAAACCTACCGCATTGGTTTTATGAGTTTTTAATGAGAATACATATGAAGGCCCTGAAGTGTAGTAGATATTTGGTTACTGTTAATTCCCCTGCCCATTCCCTAGGGGTAACTTGAGGAAAACAGAAAGCTTTGCCCAAATAGTTTATTTTGATAGTTTATTGTGATAAGTACTCGGAAATGGATACTAAAGAAAATCTCACCACCAAAAATGATTGTAGAGTATAGAGAAGTTTTAAGCTTCTTTGGAAATCTGAGAATACATAAGGCATAACAAAAACTGAGGCATAATACAAGAGGATCTTTCCATGCAAGGCTGCCAAATCACTGTCTCTTCCCCCAAGTTCTCTGCCAATCATCCCTGTCTCTGTTTCTGTCCCTGCCTCCTCCCCAGACGGTTATAAAATAAAAGCTCACCTGGTAACCTATCATAGATAGTCTATAAAGGTATCCTAGATTCTGTTTATTTAGCCTGAGACACAGTTCTTAAATTTTACTTTCCATAAGAAGCAATGTTATGATTCTTCTAGCACTGGAGTTGGAACAGAATAGCTTCATCCTCAGATTAGGAGTAGTATGCAAGGTCTTTGAAGTTACGCAAGGTCTTTAAAATTACCTAATGGCAGGATTCATGCCACATCACCACAGATCTGGGTTTTGCTGCTGCAAACAGGCTGACATTAGCACAGGGGTGACTATGTCTCGGATCCTACTCTACATAGCACCTAAAAGATGTAATAGGGAAACTTTGGGCAAAGTGATAGGAAATCGTTTTACCTCTCCAGATTTTCTTTTCTAAATGAGGACATAACAACGCCTGCTCCATATAATTTTTATGTGTAAATTAGATAGTGCCTGGCACACAGCACTTAATAAACTACGGTAGCTGGGAGGAGGAGAGAAGCCCTACTGGTTAAATATACTAGCTAAGGAGGAAGCGTTTTGTATACACCAGAAGGAGCTGTGCTTGAAGCTTAGTGTTTTTTCTTTAAGCTCTTGTTGGAGTACTTTGGACATGTCTAATGGTATAGAATCAAGAAGCAGTGTATCATTTGTTCAGTCATTTCCAACTGTCAGTTAGACAGTCATTAAAATTGGCTTATCCTCTGCCTGGACTAATGCAAACTCTCTTGTTCCATGAGAGTGAAGGAACCGCATGAGGTGTTCCTGAGGCTTCGTTCTTTTCCTGCAACAAAATTATGCTATCATGGACTAAGTATCTCCAAAGCACAGATGGTGCATTGTCTTTCACTTATGCAAAATTTTATTTGAATATGATAAAGTTATAAAATTATTTTAGTACCTAAGCTGCTTCTGAATCTTAACTCCTTTGAATAGTAAATATATGGATATTTTAATGATACATTTAAATGACAGAACAGAAATCTCGAATAGCATTATATTTTATTGAGTTGATGCATATTTTATGTTACCATTTTATGCTAGTAAGTGTAGAAAGGAAAAATGTGTTCAGATTTTCCCAGTTCAGGAGAGAGGGTCTTTGAACCATCTTGGGAGGTAGTGGAGTGTGGTGATTAGGAGTAAGGATGTTGCAGCAGGAGCTGCTTGAATTTATGTCACAGCTCTACTGCTTACCAGCTATGTCCCCCTGGGATAGTTACTGAATCTTTCTGTGCATTAGTTACCTCATCTGTAAAAGAAGAATGAGAATATTACCTACCCAGTTGCTGTGAAATTTAAATGAGTTAAGGTATGTAAACAACTTAGGATAGTACCTGGCACATCATAACTGCTCAATTAGACAACCCTTGGTCAACGGGTAATTTTACTAAAACAGAAACATCTCTCACTTCGTTAAGTTAATGTCTTAGCATATGTTTGTCCTAACAAATGTTTTACAAGTGAATTAACAGTTTTAAAGAAGTCCAAAATTTAAAAAAGAAGAAAAGTGAATATAAAAGAGTAAAATAACTTCCTAAAAGAATCCTGAAATAGTCAATTCTTTAAGAAGATGGATTCATTACAAGGTTCTACCAAAAATCACTAGCTTACAGGGATATATGAGTATACATGTGACATTTTAAAGAATCTTTAAAGTAAGTAGGTATTAGTATAATATCGTCATAGTTACTCATTTATAACCAAAAAGTTTGTTTATAGAACAGAAAGACTTTGTCTGTGGCTTATATTATTTTGGGGTCCCAAAAGTTCTAAGGTCCCCAATATTTCATTCAAGGAAACTATGATCCTCTAAAACAAACCAAAAAAAAGAGTAATATTCATGCCTGAAATTCTTGAAGCTTATTTAAGATAACTGCTAGATTTGGTAGCAGTAAGAAAAGTGATGGTAGGCTGGGCGCAATGGCTCATGCCTATAATCCCAGCACTTTGGGAGGTGGAGATGGGAGGATAGCTTGAGCCCAGGAGTTTAAGACCAGCTTGGGCAACATAGTGATACCTCATCTCTACAAAAAATAAAAAAAATTAGCTGGGTGTGGTGGCACACGCCGGTGGTCCCAGCTACTTTGGAGGCTGAGGTGGGAGAATCACTTGAGTCGCAATTGCCACTGGGAGATGGAGTCGTGATCGCCACTGCACTCCAGCCTGGGCGACAGAGCAAGACCCTTCCTCAAAAAACAAAAGAAAGAAAGAAAGGTGATGGCAAATGCTCTTTGGAGTGTTCAGTAGAGTAGAAAAGCAATATAGACAGAGGAATACTGTTTAATTATGGATTTTCTAAGTAAGTGACACAACTAAAAGCCATGGATGAAACCAGACATGAGTGATGATATAATCGTGTATTTTGAAAAATAACCAGAACCTGGTTCAAGAAATTTCTTGTTGGGCTGCAAATAAAGAAAGAACTTGGAAACAACAAATAACCATATGAAATCAGGGACAGTGGAAACAGTGTCATGCTCACTATCTTGGTGATAGGATCAATTGTATCACACACCTCAGCTTCACACAATATACCCATGTAACAACCTGCAAATGTACCACTGAATCTAAAATAAAAAGTTGAAATTTTAAAAAAAAGAATAATGAACTCAGTGGTGTCTCTTCTGCTCACTGGGGTCAGAAATAAAAAGGCAATAGAAGGGCAGAGGTACAGTTTGTTAATGGAAAGCTCAAGAATCTAAATCAGTAAGTGGGCTTAAATTTTTTTAATCTAAAAGTGAGGAAACCAAATTCTCATTTCAAATCTATCATCTAACATCTGTGTCTGAATATAGTCATCTATAAAATAATAGGTTGGAACAAATGATCTCTCAAATTCCAGTTCTAAATTTCCATACTTCTATTATATAAGCAACAGTTCTCTAAGTAGCCAAAGGATACAGGAAGCAAGCAGATACTAAAGCAAGAGTGAGTGAAATGAAAGCAATTAGGCATTATGACAGTTTGGTAGGTAGTTTGAGAAAAGGACAGTAAGCAATTCAAACCAGGGAAAGTATAACAGTGAAGAGGAATAATACACTAACTTCCAACACTGAATTATTGAACACATCTTCTGTTTGGCACCTTTTGAGAGAGAAGATTAATGAAAGCGGGAAATTCGGTGAAAGATAGCTTAGGTTTGAAACATTTCACATAGTAATTACAAAGACAATGAGCAGACAGCATGTCTTAACTTATAAAAAATATTATTGAGGTAAAAATACTCACTGCACAGAGTTGTCATGAATATTAAATGATTTCTATTAAACATCCAGCATAGGATCTGAAACACAGAAGCCTCTAATGTTAGCTCCCTTTATCGTTATTGATTAGAGTACTAGAGATACACAATAACATGGTAAATGCCTAAATGTAACCTAGTACACAAAAGTAATTGAGATATAAATTTCGTTGACTTTATTGTTTCCATTGTCTTCAAGTGCAGAGCTACATTGTTGTTTATCTTTAGAATAGCTAGAACATCTTCCTGTAACTCACAAGTTGATGGCAAAGTTTCTTCATTGCTGCCTTCATCTCCTTGTTCCTCAACGTATAGATGACTGGATTCAGAAAAGGAGTGAGAATTGCATCAAAGATAGCAAGAAATGTGTCCAAATGTGATGAGGGGAAGGGCCAGATGTAAAAGAAAATCAATGGTCCAAAAACTAAAACAACCACAGAGACATGAGCTGACAAAGTAGAGACGGCCTTGGATAAACCACCTGAAGAGTGTTTCTGAGCAGTGACCAGAATGAAGATGTAAGAAATAATTAATATGGAGAAAGACCCCACAGAGATGAGTCCACTGTTGGCTGTGACCATGAACTCCAGTCTATTGGTCTCTGTACAAGCAAGTTTAATGAGCTGAGGGAGATCACAGCAAAAGCTGTCCAATACATTAGGACCACAGAAGGGCAAGTCTATGACAAAAGCCAGTTGGGCCACTGAGTGAATGAGGCCAAGGATCCAGGCAGCAGCCAGAATTAAAATGCATATTCGTGGGTTCATGATGGTCAGGTAGTGGAGGGGCTTACATATGGCCACATATTGGTTAAAGGCCATGGCTATGAGCAGCCCCATCTCCGTGCCCCCAACAGCATGAATAAAGAAGATCTGAGTTATACAGCCCCCAAAAGAGATGGCTTTGCATTTTCTAAAAAGGGCATAAATCATTTTGGGGGCTGCAATAGAGCAAACTCCCAGGTCAAGAAAGGAGAGATTGGCCAGCAGGAAATACATAGGGGAGTGTAAGTTAGAGTCAGAAGGAGGTTTCCCAGCAGACTTGCCATGTAGAATGCAGAGGTAAAGAGGAAAAGAAGAAGCTGGATCACCCATGAGTTAGAGGGTCCCAGGAACACAAACTCAGATACCACAGAGAGGTTGGCTCCATCCATTGCCTCTGTGAGCAGAGCTGACTATAACATTACCTGGAAAGGAGAGTAAAGAGAAAGTCACACTTTGTGGGGAGTGTCTGATTGCATGAGTTTCAAACTGTAAGGAAAAATGTTGCTTTAACTCACAGAGCCGAAACATCTCTATATAACACCCTTAAACTGTAGTTGCAGAAAATACGCAGTAACTCACTGTCACAAAGCACTGCTTCCAATTTCCTAGACTCCCTAACAATCTACAGGTTGTGATAAAAGAAGATGAGGCAAAAACAAACGCTAAATGCACTGGAATAACATGAGGGAAAAAAAGAGGAAATGAAGATGAACTCATTGATTTCTCCCTCACAGTTTGTTATTCCTGGCCATAGTTGTCCCCAAACCTCAAGCAACTTCTGATGACCTTTATTTTTCTTACCTTTTTTATTTCTTCCATGTGCAATATATTACGGTTATTCATACTCTCTCACGTTCAGCCTCATGCTATTGTAGTTTTATCAGATTATATTCACCTTTTCCTCATAAGGAGAGAAAATAATGTAGAAACCCTAAAATTATCCCACCTTTGTAGCCCAGCCCAGGGAGTGGAGGTGATCACAAAGCCTGAGCAGTGACAGCATATGGTGGAGAAGGACAAGGCCAGGAAAGAGATGTACGCTGCAGGATCTACACATGAATAGAGCTCATGCAACATAGCAAAAACAATTCCACGTAATTGATATCTAAAATTCATTGGCTGTGCTAACTTTTCATGGTTCATGGAATGGTGGAAAGACATTACACTTGGAATCAGAAAAGTATGATCAAGTCCTAGCCCTAAGCTCATGGAAATTTGACCAAGTTCTTCCTCCCATTCCCTCTACACTTGAGACACTTTTTCAACTCAGTTGTATTATTTATAAAATAAAGGGGTGGAGACAATCCTTCCAAGTCTGCAATTACTATTATTTTATAATCCTATGCTATCCCAGTATGTAACAAAGTTCACCATAATGATGGTATTTTCTGCATTGGGTAGCTCCCATATTCACTATTTCTTTCCCTTGTTTGTGGTTGGTTGTAAGTCACATATCCCATACAAGACTATCTCTTCACAGTAATCTCCCTCTTATCTAATTCCCATTTTGACTCAATTAGCATGTTATATAAATCTATAATCTGCTAAATAGCAGATATAAATCCACTGTATCATTTATTTTGCCCTTTATCATAACCATTTGTAATCAATCAATCAATATTTACTAGATGTCTCCCATGCACAGTGGGTACTATTTACTTATAGAAGTATTAAAATATTTACTACTGTTAAGGATTTTACATCTGAGCACACACAATGTGAACAATAAAAAATATATTGTGTAAAAATTTCAAATATAATATGATCATAAAATTGTTGAAGTAGAAAAGATACTCCTGAGCCAGGGTGATCAGAGCTGTCTTCAGAAAGGAAACAGAATCTGTGCTGCGCTTTAAGAGATGGAGCTAATTTACTTCAATACACAGCTTCATGTCTGAGCTTACAGAATTACTTAGACATTATCAGGGAATATCTCCCAGTCTGGAGCATTGTTTGATGAGCTTTCTGTGGAAATAATGATAACCAAGGTAAAACAAAAACAGTGGCCACCATGTGCAAGACACAACAATGACTGCTTCATATACACTATCTTGTTTGATGTCTACAAAAACTGTGAAAGTTGGTATTATAGGCTCCTTTTTACATTAGGGAAATCAAGACCAAGAGTGGAGAAGCAACAAGATAGAACATAAGAGGTAGAAATGAGATTGATACTCTGGTCTACCTCTCAGCCAGTATGGAAAGAAAACTGTTTCTTCCTCATGACTTTCTGATTGTATGATATATCTTAGTCCATTTCTGAATGTCCCATGTTCTATCCTCAGCACCCTAGGCAGATTTAAGTGAAAGAGAAGGAGATAGCTTTGTCCTTAAGTATTCATTGCATCTGGGTTTCTTAAGCTACTGCAAATGCATCCATAATTTATCCTGGTTTTTTAAATAAACATAGTAGCAGAAGGTGAATTCGTATAATAACCTGCAGCTCAGAGGATCCTGGTTGAGTTTCCAGACTGCCATTATCTTGATCCACATAAAATCCTTCAGCTTTCCATAAGAGACTCAGTTTCTAGTGTAATATAATGAATGAAGAAAATAAAGGTGCTCTGTCTGCATGTCAAGAAATAAAATAAAGCCCAGAACTAAAGCAAATCAGATTCTATTCCCACTTACAAGATTGCCTCATAGCCACGCTAACTCCCTTTTTTGGATTTCAACTTTAGATAGCAATGAGGTATTTTAAAAAAAAAAAAGAAAGAAAGAAAGAAAAGTAATTTTAGATTCTGATTGGATGTCCTTCTTCTCATTTGTATTGATTCTTGTTCATTAAGCTCAACCGAAGCTGCTTCCTTTGTACAAGGTATATTTAATTAATTTCTATACAAAACAAACCTGTCATCAGAAACATCTATTCAGTACTGACCCTTGGGGACTTGAGCACTGTAAGCCAATGCCCCTAAGCCATTTCTATATTTGCCACCAATGTGCTTATTTAAAGACCAAAGGTGTGTCTGTTTCCAAAGATTTAACCACATTCAACTGTGGTTAGAACTACCATTGCTTCATGCACAAACTATAAAAACGCTATTACTGTGAAAGATATGGCTAATTGACACACAGGTAGTACTGACCAAATGATACTGCAGAGACTTGGGATCACCAATATAAGTTCATTTATCCAAGGGAATTGTCACCCAGAATCCTGGCAAGCCAACAGAGAAAGCTCTAAATGAATCGCAAACGGAGGGAAAAAAAGATCAAAAACGAGAATGGCGGGAACCCGGGAGGCGGAGCTGGCAGTGAGCTGAGATCCGGCCACTGCACTCCAGCCTGGGCGACAGAGCTGAGACTTCCGCTCTCCAAAAAAAACAAAAAAAAAAAAAAAAAAAAAAAAGATTCAAAAAACATAAGACTAATATAAAAGACCTAAAGCACATAAGTAATAATGTAGATCTAAGTAACATCGTACTCTGAAACCTAAAACAGATTATTCTTTTTTTTCAAATATCCACGGAGACCATATATGTGACCATATATTACACCACCAGAAATCTCAAAAATTGGAAATAGTACAAATAACATACTCTAATCACAATCTAAGAAAACTTGAATTTAATTTAAAAAGAGAAATAGAGGGGAAGAAATCTAAAACATGAAATAACTGTTCATAGATATATCAAAGGTAAAAATAAAAGCTATAAAAAATCCTTGTAAAAACTGAGAAAACTTGAAAATGGACTCTGTGTCAGATGGTGTTAGTGACTTCGTATGCATTTGGTTAGACAAAATAATTTTTAAGATATTTGTAATTATACAAGATTGGAGAAAATGTTCATCAATGAAGAATTAGCTCAATAAATTATAGAATATATAACAAAATAATTTGAAACAATAAGAAAAGCTTGGGAAAGCTCTCTTTCTACAGATATGAAATGCCTCTGAACAGCAGGAAATCATTTATATTTTTTAAAATGAAAGGACAAGACATAATATTTTATATATGCACAAGCAATTGAATATAAAGAATAAAAAAGAAAAAATAACAATGCTTACCTCTGGGAAAGGAACTGGATATCTAAATAACCTCTTATAATTTTTGAATAGAAAAATTTTATCTATCAATTTTTATTTTAAAAATACAAAGAAAGAATACTCCAAAGAGTTTATTTTGTGAAGTCATCCTCTCTAGTTAGTGCCAGAGCACTAGTATTTGAATTTAATATTTCCTCCAAACCTTTGGAGGACAGTTAGGGATGGGAGGAAACTCCAGAAAATCTGAGATTTAAGCATAAAATTTTAAAGTGGGAAACACTTCGGAAAAAAGACACATAAAAAAGCAAGAATTAAAAGAAAAATACAAAGATGTGAATTTTCCCTAGGTTAATCTCTAAACTTAGCACCATTCCATTAAAGTATCATCAAGTTTCATTGAGGTGCTAAATTGATTATAAATTTCATTTGAAAGAACAAGTAAGAGCTGTGAAAACCTGAAAAGGGAGTTCAATGGAGTGGAAGAGGAGGAAGGAAGCCTTAACAGATAATAAAATATTTTAAAGACTCCTACAATGTTTTTTTAAAATTACAGGAATAAACAAATTGATTACTGGCACCAAATAGACAATGTAGAAATATCCCAAATTGCCAGTGGAAATGTAGTATTCAATAAAGACAACCTCTCACATCAGTTGATACGGACATTTTAATAAATGACCTAAGGATGCTAGAGAACTATATGTAGAAAAGGTTAAATTAAACCAACTTCTGGCACTATACCAAAACAAATTCCAAAGGATGCAGAAGTCTAAAGACTTTTTAAATGAACAAACAGGAATTAGAAGAAACCTAAGTAAATTCCTCTATAATCTGCAAGTAGAGAAAATATTTCTAACTCTAATTCAAAATCCAGACAGAAGACAATGGAGATGTGTCCTAAAAATATTGTAAAGAAAGAAAAATGTGTCAATTAAAAATCATTTACATAGCAAAAATCTTTCAAAATTGAAAGCAAGCTCTCAGTTCAAAATAAAATTAAACTAGAAATCCATAAAAGAAAGATAGCTGGAAATTTAAAACAGTTGGGAATTTAACACACACTTCTTTTTTTTTTTTTTTTAATTTTATTTTATTATTATACTTTAAGTGTTAGGGTACATGTGCATAACGTGCAGTTTGTTACATATTTATACTTGTGCCATGTTGGTGTGCTGCTCACCCATCAACTCGTCTATTTACATCAGGTATACTCCCAATGCAATCCTCCCTCCACCCCCATCCCCATGATAGGCTCCCGGGTGGTGGATGTTCCCCTTTCTGAGTCCAGGTGATCTCATTGTTCAGTTCCCCACCTATGAGTGAGAAACATGCGGTGTTTGGTTTTCTGCTGTTCTTGTGATAGTTGCCTAAGAATGATGGTTTCCAGCTGCATTCCATG